AGAGCACAAGCACTGCCTGGAGTGGAACATGGACACGGCTCTCCAGGCTTTTCTCAGTTTCCTCGTCTTGTTCTTACCGTATTTGCCAGTGCACAGCCATCCAGTAATTGCTATGGTGATGTGAAGCTGCCTTCCTTCAGTTAGTGGGAGGAATTCAAACTCTTCTATGGCTCCCACACGCTTCTTCATCTTGTATCCTACACACAGCACAGCAGAAACACGACACTTAGAAATCGTACAACAAGGACAGAGTCTGCTAACAGCGGAAGTTCGTAAGAATCTATTGGGGTAATTTGGATTGGGTTTTTTACTTTCCAAAACCCCCAGCCAGTCCATGCATTACTTAGAGCTTGGTACGGAGCCAACATGATCCTTCTGAGCTTGTGTGATCTGGGGGAGTCACAGCAGAAGGTTTTTTGCTGCAGAGCAGACATCAGCCGTTAATAGCCGCTGTTCTCCATGGCAGCATCTTTCTCATCCAAAGCAGCAAGCTTTCATTTCCTTCATTAGCCACATCTCAAATGTTCTTTTCCTAGATGGTCATCAGGGGCTACACAGTATCTTAATGAGCATTGAAATAAAAATTTCACAGTTGTAAGATTACACCTCAATTTGCTTCCCTTGCTCTGCAGAGCTCAGCTCAGTCATTAGCTCTGCGTTTGCAGACATCATCCTCTGCCTCAGTAGCTGAGAAACGTGCGGTCGCTCTCTTACCAGTAAGGCCAGCTCCGGCTGCCCCAAAAAGGGATGCCATGACAGCAATTCCAGCAGTTGAACCTAGAGCAGCTGCTCCAGCACTTCCAATGATAGTAGCAGCTCCTGCAGCAACCAGAGGGGCAGCAAGACCCCCTGTCAAGCCTGAAGATGCAACAAGTTAATATCACCAAACTATTATCACTTACAAAAACTAGGAATCTTTTCCCTGTGCTGTGTGAGTGCTGCTCATGCTACTGAAAGAGTACAGATGGAGGTTTAGCATCACCAATAAAGGGGCTTTCTGAGCCCCACCCCAGGCCCTGAATTTCTGCACTGATTCTTTGACTGACTTCAGTCAAAGTGAAGAATAATTTAAAAGTCAAAGAATGTGTGGGGTAGACAGGGGTGAGCTATGCCCTATTTGCTTAGAAAACATTCATTTAGTCTCAAACTATCCTTAATTTAGAGTTGAAGATTCAATCCTCTTATAACACAAGAGCAAAAGAGGAATATTTCCTTCAGCCAGTGAAGCTACACTGAAATAACTTTTCCAGCCAATTCTTTCAGTTTTATTTTCATGTGGCTGAAAATACCTTTCTTGGATTTGGGGTTTCTTTTGTTGGGTGGTGGGTTTTTTTTTGGGGGTGAAGTGTTTTTTTACTATCTAAAGTGACAGACTACCTTCAGCCTGGCAAAGAAAAGCAGTGAACGCTTTAAAATGAGAGCTTGGGCTAAAAGGTATGATGGCTTCTGCTGCTGAATGTGTAATTCAGACATCCCCTGCTCTGCCTCTAGTGCTGTGCATGCAATTCAGGAGCAAATCCCCAAAATGCCCAGGGGCAACCTCACCGATTACTGTTCCGCCCCCAACGGTTGCCAAACTGATCAGCAGGTATCTCTTCAGCTTTTTTCTTCTTTCCTTCTTTTTTCTTGATACTTCTGCAGTTCTGCGGGGGGATTAGAAGCATAAAAGCTGACAGAAAAGCCTGACGGATAACAATGCTGCATCAGAATCTGCTTTTATTCTCCTCAGGGTAATTTCTCTTTTGGGAACAGTAAAAGGTAACATGCAGGTGTGGACTGTGACAAAACACTCAGATTTATGAGCATGGACATAATCCCACAGATTTAAATTGAAATGATGTAATTGCTGACAAAAGCCAACAGATGTTACTTACTTGGAATACCCTTCCTAATGGGGCTGAAGCTTGTAAAAAAAAAAAAAAAGAAAAAGTCAAAAGTGTTTCAATAACTATATACTGCCTATATGTCTTAAAAAACCACAAGAAAGCTAAGTGGAAACAGGGAAAAGCGTGTGAAACAAAAGAGAACAGGGGTAATTTGCGCTAACAAACAAAGAGATGGAATGAAACTCTTTTCCAACACCAGTGTTTATATTTAGCTGCTTTCTAATTGCACATCACAATATAATAATATAATAGATATTAAGCACAGTCATTAGTTAATTTGTCTGTGTGTATTTAAGCTACATTTTATCAAGCTTATCAGAAACAGGTAAATAAAACATAAAAGGAACAAATATCACTTATTAGGCACTACTTTTGGCTTCTCTCCACTGTATTTGGTTTCTCTCTTATAAGAAATATTCTCACTTCAGAGGAGAGTATGAGAAGCAAAGGATATTGGAAGAAGTTGTTTAAAGAGGAAGGTTCCTTCTAGCCTGCTTACGCAGTGGTTAATCTGGGCCTTGAAACATGAGAATTTATCTTGCTTCCAAACTTGGATATTTTCCCTCTTAATCCTAGCCTAATTGTGGATTTTCATTATCCACATAATTGCTTAATCCTTCCTGGAACCCCCTAAGCGCACTGTAATTTTGATAAAGACAATTTTAGATGAGTCCCAAACAATACGCAGCTTTGTAAAACACAGCGGGAGGAAAATGAAGCACAGTGGGTGAAATCCCCACGTCGCTGAGGTCAATGGCAGAACTCCCACTGACTTGCATGGCACGGAGACTTTGTCTCCCCAGAGATATTAAAAAAAAAAAAAAAATGTGTATTACCTTCTGCAGCAGCAAACATCGCTGTCTGCAGAGACCGGGAGCGCAGCCTGCCATGGCTACCTCTGCAGCAATTTCTGTAGAACCACATTCACTTTCTACAGCCCCACGGTCACAGCGGTGTTTGGATACGCACTAATTTGTGCACACAGTCACCAACCGGAATGCCTGCTTTGGAAAAAAATTGCTCCTGATGTTCTTTAAACACATGATGCAGTCTGGCTGTTAATACCTAAGCTGGCAATATCCAGCAATTTCTTTTCTACATAGCGGTTCACCAGCTTTTATAGTCAGTGTGCTGTTGTCTCGGGCTGAAAATTATGACATCAAGAGAGCTGAAATCTGGCTAACCTGGCTTTAGTTGCAATAACGAGCGATTTGAGTTACGTGGGTAGAAAGATAGTTTGCAGCTAAAGCCTGCCTGAAGATGCAGCAAGTAAAACTACTGTCGTGAGAACTTTTACCTGTCATTGCTTTCCTTCCGGAGCTGCCAGGAACTGCTTTTGACAGTTGTTTTCCTAATAACTTCTGCATTGCAATTATCACTTGATTACCAGGCTGCTTTTCATCCGCTATGGTAATTAACTGCCTCTTGTGGTACTTCTCTACCCTTAGTGATCTCGGATATGCAGCTTCTTGACTGAACCACAAATTATGTTCAGAGAGATTTCATAGGTGAAATGACAGGTCATTTTCCACTGGTGAGAAGTGGCAAGAGTACACATTAGCGAGCAACCGACGTCATATTTTCCAGTTTCTTACAGAACTGCGTACAAAAGAGAGGCTCACACCTGCAGGTCAGGACATGTTTGGTGCTAGTGAGATGGATTTTAGCTTTTGGAGCATTGTTGTATGTGTACATTTAACCTCGCACATTCTGGGCCACGGTCCAACACACCCACAGCAGCAAAGGCAGGACCAAAACCTTCTGTTAGCAAATATCAGTAAAAACCGCCTGTGCAGAAGCTGCCAAAACCTTGTTGGGTTGTTACTGTTCGAAAACCTCTTGCAGTGGATGGTCAAAGCAGGAAGCATCCTAAGCAGATGTTAATGCATTCCCTGCCCCAAAGGTCTGTGGGACCAAAGCAGCGACAGGTTTACATTCCACTTCCTTTCCTCATTGACTTTAAAACACATCAAGGGTCACTGATTCCTCACAAATCTCAGCCTTGTTTTAGCACTGTAATAACGAATGTGTTCACACTGCGGTCTTGGACGGCTCTCACTATAAAGATTATTTTTTCCTTTTACCTAATAGGTATTTAATTCCACGGCTGCAACTTGGGCAAAGAAGAAGAGTGAAATCCTTGCCTTTCGCCACACCACAAAACCCACCGGGCTAGCTGCAGTGTGTGAACACCACGCTTGAAGGTAGGCAGCGTAATTCTCCAGTAGCTCTTGCCGTTATCAGACACACTGCTATCTCTTTGGGTTGTGCTACAGGAGTCACAGTCCAGCTGATACCGAATTCGATATTGGAGCATCATCTTTGTGTTTCCACAAGCCACAGCAAAAAATATCCCATCAATACCAACCCTTGCTCCTGCATGCCAAGCGGTGTCCTGTTTAGCAGTTCATGATCTTTGAGATTACTTTGACTTTCCCTTTTTACAGTGTGCTATAAAGTTCAGCTTTCTTTCAATAAAGCTATAATTGAAAGATATCCATCACATGCTGGACCCCACGGTAACATCTGAACTGTACAGTGTCAGGGACGTTGATTAAAGCCTTTACTGGCACTCAGGTTAATCTCATAACCTGTTCGCTGAGTTGACAGATAAAAATATTGAATGGTCCCTTGAAAGTTCACTACGGACACGTTTACTGCCTTACTAAACCTTCACACAATTTCTGCCTGATAAGTGGAATATAAAAATACTACATTTCTTATAGATACCAATGTTTTGGTTGTTTCACATCTAAGAACTGGCGATTAAGAGAATTAATCTTATAATAATAACACTAAATTAGGAGTCAGGTCCATAAGTAGCTAAAGATACAGACTGGTGCCCTCAGAGGGCATTATATTTTATGCATAATATACAACATGAGTAAAAGTTTCTTAAACAGGATACAGAGAAGGACAGATCTATAGAAAATCAAAAGCTGAGGGTCTAATCCTGGAATTCATAGGAACTTCATTTTGCAAGAGGCAGTTCTATCTGAAGAATATCCCAAGAGATAAGGACACAAGATCTTTCTGATGTATTTAAATGTAATCTACAGTCTAGGAGAGGAAACTGGAACAAGGAGATGTGGGAGTTCAATGTCTTTACCAGCTTGCAAGGTTGGGTCTCAGCTCTGATTTTGAGAATGCTGAGCTTTCCTGCTTCTCAGCGCAGCTGAAGTGCTGCGAGGGCTCCACAACCCTAATCAAGCCATTAATGATGATACACTAAGAGCTACGGAGAAAATGATCGAAGACTGGACTTAGGCACAAGTAATTACTGCTAAGCTTTCAAGCACCGCCAGTGTTTTTCCATCCCATAGTCAACCCAAATGTTCTTACTCTGACTCTTCCTCTTTTTGTTCCTTCAGGCTCTCAAGCAGAGACTCCTCCAGGACTTCCAGCTCCTCCAAGGGGATTCTCAGCAGCCAGGTGATGTGACAGATCAACACCCTCGCCCGAGCGTCGTAGTACCCTTAAACAGAGGGAAGCCCAGGAAATCAATCAGTCTTCATCACACCAGATTCAATAGCGAGTGGTGCGGCTGTGCTAGAGGACCATGGTACATACAAGCTGCTTCTCTCAGGCCCTCTTTGTCTTCCATTTATTTGAAGACAATTCCTGTTATCTAGGGAAGAGAGCAATAGATGGAAAATCCTTCATCCCTGCACACCTCTGTGAACAGTCACTACACCAGGTAATTGCCTCTATGGCAGAAAAAGGATCTCAAATCCTTTGGTTTTCATCCCCTGTGACAGAAGCCTTTTGGAAGCTTTCTTCCCAACAGCGAAATACTGCAGAAAGACCAGTCCTAACTGGAAATATCCAATATATACCTATGGGTAACATGACACAGTATACCTCAACTATGCACCAAGGCAAGATATGGTATCTTGTAAAAATGTGCCTCCAGGCAAAACTTTTATATTAAATTCATCTTGTTGGCAACAAGAATTTAAATTGGAATTTAAAACTACACTCCGACTCACCCAGCAGCATCACTGACAATTGTTTGCATTTATACTTCACTGCTCGAGGTGCAGGAGTGGACAGTGCCTCAGACAACATGTAATAGCAGTAATGATCACTCCTGGGCTTATAAGCAGGTATTCTCTAAGAAAAGACATTTTAAATTGAATAGGTTTTAAATTATTTGTGCCAACTCTTGCTTTTTTAAATGTGTTTCTCTCAGCAGCACCTGCTGCTTGCAGATGGTAGGCTTTTGTAAAGGGCTCTTGGTGCACTCTGGGATGAAAAATGCAATTTTTTCCAGGGGTGGGTGAAGATACCAGCAAGACCCAACTACAAAGTATGTTTCTGATACCCGCTGCACGTAGGTCAAATATAGCATTGAGCAATCTATTAAGTTTATTTATTTATTACCATCATTACCAAGATAGCAAGCTACTTCAGTAGGCTTTAATGACACCACTATAAAATTTGTGCTTAGTTGAGAAATAAGGAGAGAATTTATCTTCACTTCATCCCCGATACGTGTCACGTCTTGCGAACCCAAGCAGGTGTTTTACTGAGGAGCTTTCTTGCTTCCTGTCTGCTAATACCCGACTTTGCCTTCTACTTAGCCAGCCTGGCAGCAAGTCAGAAAGGCCTGAAAATACATTTCTTTTAAATTCCAGCTTAGCAAAATAAGCAGTTTTGCAACAACTGACTTGTCAGTTTTCCATTAAAAATAAAGCAAGAACAAAAATGGTACTTTGTTCTGCAGTGAAACAGGCTAATCAGCGAGCAGGGAGTTCTTTCCTGTGAGAACATGCTAAAACACAGAGATTTAAAAAATGCGAGGAGTGATCTAAAACAGGCTTCTTTGAGAAATGAACATTTTGTTCAGTAGGCAGTCTTTATTTCATTAATTTTACCAGACTAATCCATGTTATGGATTGTAAACCAGAAAATTGTTTTATGCATAATATAAAACATGAGTAAAATCACATTTATTTATAATAGGCTTCACAGGATGCTCTGGGATTTATTCCCTGATTTTTTACTTTTTTTTTTTTAGGCAACAAGCAATCTGCAGAAAATTTGCCAGGCTGAGATTTTCACAACAGCTTCACTGCCTTCCTAAAGGAAGAGGTAGCCTGCACCCCTGGAAACGCTGGAGAAAAACCACTCCACTCCGGGTATTTCACTTCAGAACGTTTCTACCATCGCGTACATTTGCAGGCCAATACATGACGTGAAGGGAAGGAGGTGAAGAGTTGTTCAATTTTTAACAGGTATTATTAATCATTCCTAATATAGTAGTTGCTTTTCCTGTAGTGGACGCAGGGGAAGAGTGTGCTGTTTTTGCTACAGAGGAAGCTAAGATAAAATACCTTGAGCTTTTTGAGCATTTTAAAGTATCAGATGTAAACTCATCTACATTATTCTTACAAAGAACAAATGCTAGGTAAACTTACCATCTCTAAGAGAGAAGGATAGAAGGTCCTAAAAAGGAAAAAAAAAAAAAGAATATTGAAATTAAAACTGCTCATGTATGCCTGATGGTATCAAAATAGAGGTATGAAAACCCATCGAACTATGATTTAATTACCGCAGCATGTCAGTTAATAAACACGGGAAGCCAGCAAGCTACAATTCAGCAAGCTAGCACAGAGCAGAGCCAGGTGCTTCCAGTACAAAATTCTCCGTACGCAGGTACAAACAGCTGGATGGCAGTAGATAATGCTTGGTATATGCTGAAACATTCCATACCTTTTGTTATTAGCAATCCTGTTGCAATTGAAAGCACCATGATTACACTGGACTTCAAAGTCTGGAAAAACAGGGCTCTAATCCTCCTACCACTCTGATGCCTTCTCCTCGCTATAGAGTCAAACATACTCATATTTTCAACATGAGTAACAGGTTTGAATGCTATTCACATGGACCAGTGGCCCCTATTTTCTTTGGCATTCTGTGATTTCATAGCTCTAGGCAGTAAGGCTGAACTGGCATGAAGTTCTTTTGGATTAAGTACTCAAAAATAGAAAACTCAGAATTTACAGCCATCTGTCAAGATTGAGGGACTTGACTTCTGTGTTGGTTTTTGACCGTAAAAAAAATCAGAAAAACAGATCAATACAATAGATGGTTTCTGTACTCAAATCCATGAAAAAAAGAGGCCACTGTTTCTACTACTATGTTCTCCTCTTTTATTGTCACTGGATAAATTTTAAGTTCTTTATGTAATTACAACACTGAGCACTAGCTCAGCCTGGTGACTTCCCTCTCTTACACACAAATAAAACACAGCTGAATTTTACAGGGAATCCTTCAGGCCTTTGGGGACACAAAAAATGCAGCCAAAGATGGAAGATGCTGCCAAAGAGTTTATGATTATTAGTCCCGTAAGCTCCTAAGCAAAATTTGTATCATAAAAATGTCTCTAATTTTTTCCCTCCTGCGTGAGAAGTGTAGAATGAAGAACAAGCCATCCTTAACCTACTCCTACTAGAAGAGGAGCAAACTGTAGATATTACCCAGGCAAAAGTAAGTGTCCAGACTCTGAATGTCATTTTAACATGAGAAGAGTCTGTTATTGCGTAAAGGAGAAGAGAGCTTTTGTGTAGGACTGGGGAAGCCAAAGGATTAGGGCAGCTGAACGCCCACCTACAGGTGCTTTTCACAAGGTATAGCCCCAAAACCTTCGCTCTGCTGCTGCCTGATGTTTTCACACATACCTCTACTGCCGAATATCTGGGTGGCTGTTCCCAACCACAGAGAAAAGCTGCCTTTTGCTTGCCTGCCCTGCAAGTCCTAACGGGATAAACATTTCCAGTAGGGATCTGTTGGGCTGGGCTCTGCACAAAGCAGCCACTGGTGTTGCTGCTCCATCCTGCATCCCAACAGCCAGAGCGCTCACCCCAGAAAAGGAAGGTCCTGGTTTGCTATCTCCGGTGTGTGAATAGGCATTTTAATTAAAGTTAGTCACCGAAGCAGGTCTCCTGTTCCCCTAATCACCACACTGCAGGAAATAAAATGCTTCTTTTTAGGTCTGGCCACGATTAGTATTTCGTGCATGCACACATGCTGCAGACTGGCTGGTGGGATGTGGGAATGGGAAAATGGGAATGTAACTCCGGTTTCCTGACACCCGAGTACTGTAACTACCCCAGTATTAGATACATGGGCCCCATCACGTCCTCCCTGGCTGCGGTTTCGTCGGGAAGTGTTGGCACAGGGGTGTCAAAGTCCAGCAGAAGGTCCAGGGCTGGGAGCCCCGAGCAGAAAGTTGACCAAGGGAAGAGCCTGAACTCTAGAACAAGGTGAAGCTTGTGACCTCGTTGCCAACAGGTTTGTGCTTTGGGCAGAGCCCATTTGTAGGCAATAAATGCTGCCTGTGTGTTGCAACGGGAGCCCATGGGTGTTGACTCAGGTCCTGTACGATATGCCCAGTATCATCTGTGGCACCTAATGTCAAATGATCTCTTTTGAAAGTCTGGCCTCAGCATTTATAGACATGTAATTCCAAAGGTGAGGGATGGACACAGGTAATCAGTTCATAAAGTGGAACTACTGTTTTTATTGCATCTGTGCCAATTAGCATTCCCAAGGATTTCTAATTGGTTTGGGCTTTGCACGTACTGCTGTGCAGTCATCTGGAACCCAATCAGCATTGATTAGATTAGTTCACAAGTAGTCTTCCTCCTCTAAGCACCAGTTATTATATTTCAGTCTTATTTTGGCATTTTGAATCTCCCTGTGAACTCTGTGCAGAAGACTACCACCCATATGATTGAGAAACCTTCCAAAGAAAGGGAAGCGATCTTTATTCACTCTTTGCCAGCTTTTTATGAATTGCTGCAAGTTCAAAACCTGATTCCTCAACAACAGAGAGCATCCAGTCCACATCGCAGGGGATGTGTGTAGAAAAACACAGGAAAATGGGCATTCTAAGTATGTTCAGAGCAAAAAAAAATTATTCATAATAAGAACTTCCACCATTTTCTCATCTATCATCTCTTCTTCACCTCTTTTTGTTGCATTGCTTTCTCATACTGCACCCACAGCCTGTGTGTTATGACTACTGTCCTTAAAGGATTCAGTGAACCAACATTTGCCTGTATTAGTCATCTGCAACGAATGCAAACAAAGATAAAAATCCATAATCCTCAAATTTTCATTGAATTAATGGTGAGCTCAGCTCTAATCTCCTGACTTCATGTTTCATCCCTTCAGCACCGCTGAGATGAAGGGCATTCAAAAATGCAGGCACTAGTGCCGACATGACCCTGCCACCAAACACACCCAGCAATTAAAGCATGAACTTGTTAAATAAACAGTAAATGTTGCATCAGTAGCATCTGAATACAAAGAAGCAAGAGGACGCTAAAGCAACATATCAAAAATTCACAAAGCTTTGTACTGTAGCTTGTTTATTTTCAGGTAACAAGGAAAAAGCTGATCTCAGCTCGACACACTGAAGTTTCCCACACGCCAGTATGATTTCCCAAAGCCGCCTTGCAAGCCTCTGCTGCCTTGCTCTACAAAAGCCTTTAATTCTGTCTTTCCTTTGACAAAATCAATCGCTTCACCCCTATTCATGATTGCATAAGGTATTGATGTTGTGGCATTAGACTGATAGCTATTCCTGATCTTTGCTTTCAACTAATCAGAGAATTGTTATCTACAGCTTCTGTATTCCACCCGACTCCTGGTGATAAGTGCCTCTGTTCTCTGGCTCAGAGCAAAATACTGCGTGCTCCCACTGATCCAGAGCCACTTTCGTAAAAGCACAGGGAGCCCTTATGCAGCATAAGCTCAGAGCAGGCACGAGTTAAACTTCACCAAAATTTCATCCTTAATAAACCCAGCAGCAACGCAGGAAAACTTGCCTAATTCTAGAGAATCCATCCTGATGCAGAGCGAATGAGGGAAAGAACCTAGGAAATACCAAGCCATCTAAATACAGAAAGAACTGAGTGTGGATTTATTGATTTTGAGCAAACAACATCAAAACAGCTGCTCTTATTTTAGAAGATCTGTCCTAACTTATTAATTAAGCTTAAGCTTCTCTGTCACTGTACCCATACTGTTACGGGACTTTGGGCATTGTAACATTCCCATGTTTGGAGCAGATCCTGTGAGGCCTTTTATGGATTGACTAGAAGACACAAAACGTGGCTGAGATAATGGGAGCTGGTCGTGATGGCCAAGAAAAGTTCACTCCTCATATCTTGACTTACGCAGCATGTGCAGTTCTGTCAGGCCATTGTAAAGGTGAGTGTGTGGTAACTATTACTCAATAGCAGAGCGCTACCTGCACGCAGGATGCATCGCTATTTCCTCGTGCGCAGCGTATAGCGAAGGGTGCGAGGTGACAGTGGCCATGTTACGCCTGGCACAGCAGCAGCCTGCCGTGCTCTTCGCCCTGCTCATGACCCAAGGCTGGATGAGGAGATATCTTCCCCAGCTGAGACTCTGCAGCAAAGGTGAATGCCATCAAAATGCTTCACCTCTTTATCTTTACATCAGCTTTTACGTCAGAACATTGCAGAGTAGTCCCAGTCCCTCTAATAGTTCCTCAGTGAAAGAAAATAAAGTCACAGTAACTTATTTCCTTCTGGCCAAAGCTGACTCTGGAAAAAAAACTCTGGAAATTGTGCTTTTTGGAGCAGGTATGTAGAGGTGGTTTGTATTACAGGTGTAGTGAAGGGGCTTTGAAACAAATGGAAATCAGGTCTGTCATGTTCAGTGTTTCACCAAAATTGGTATAATGCACATATTAATCAAAACCATTGCAATTATACACTCAAAGTAAACTTTGACAGTTCCATAGAGCAAAAGCATCAAAGCCATAAAATGTTAATTCAACAGATGGTAACCGTGCCTCGTGTTCATCACTTCCCTGAGCTGTTAATGGATAGAGACTGCCAGTCACCCACACAGAAATATATGCATCTCAGAAATAGTGATTTTGCTTCCTTGACTGTACAAACAGAACTTCAGTCGCAAACAGACACATACAAGGAATCTCTTTTGCAAAAGCAAACAAGGGCGAGGGGAGCATATGAACTTACTTGGGTAATGACAGCTGGATTTTCTTTCAAGATGGGATCCTCCAGCAAAATCTGGGCAAAAGTTTCTGTGCCCTCCCCTCCTAAGCCACTAGCAAATGCTGTCATGGCAGATAAGACAGCTTCAGGCAGGTCCAGCCATTTCACAAAGCCCTCAATGAACTCGGTCCTGAAGGAGCTGGAAGGAAACAGCAGCAGTTAAGGCTCTGTAACCGGGTATTTTTGCAAGCTTGGAGTGGTCCCTGGTTTTTCACACAAAAATCAAAGCACTGTAGGAAGTCAACAGAAGATGAGTTGCTACATGAGCTCGCTAAACAAACAAGCAAGCAATCTGAATGGAGCAAGACCTTTCCTCAATACCTGCTTTGAAGTCTGCAGTATTAAGGGATGCAATTTGTGCTGAAGGATAGAAGTCTTGAAGGTGTAAGAAAGTCTCTTTTAAAGAGACTTAAAACACCCAATGTCAAAGCATCTTCCAGTCCCCTAACTTCAGAAGACCCCACACAGAGTCTGATCCCAGCTCTACCCAAGCTGCTACCCCAAAGCTGCCTCCTTTACTCCCCCCTTGCTACCCCATGTAGTACCTTTGCTCTTTTTCAGGGAACAGCCACGCGAGGGATATCCCACAAAGCGCCGCGTAAGCAAATCTTCCCAGTTCACCCAGCCGCTGGCCCAGAAGCACACATGGTTCCTTTTCCCCTGCCTGCTCAGCCTCGCTATCCTGTTTCGAAGCCCAGCCTTTCCACTTCTCTTCGGCAGACATTTTCACCTGCAAGTTCAAAGAGGAAAAAGCTGGGGAAAAAAAAACCAAACCAACACACAGTTGGAAACCCGGAAGCAAGGAGACAAATTGCCTTTGCTTTTTCACTGTCACGCTTGCTGTTGGTATTAAGTCAAGTCTGTCAAGGTCCAGCTTGTGTATCCCCCGACAACATAAAGAAGACAACGGGAGACTTTCTGTTCACCAGTTCTCAAAAGTTTTGCATAAAATGAGCCAACAATACTTCACACAGCAAAAGGAGAAGTCTCCTTCAAGATGCAAAGAGACTGGGCTGCGTTCAGGCGTGTCATTCACATGTTTATCGCAAAAATAACACGTAAAATAAAAGCTCTGCACCTGGTGCAGGGACCAGTACAGCTGTCTGCGAAATAATTTGCCTCTCTCATCCTCAACCCAAATTGCTCCTCTGTTTATTTTGCTGATGGCATTAAGAAAGTTGAGTCCATCTGCAGCCTCTGATGAGGACTTTTAATGTGTCCCATGGACATTGCTAGGCTTTGCTTGTAACGTTCTCTCCTCTAGACAACCTGCCACTGCTTTTTCCCTAAATGTAAGATCCCTGCACCACATAGACCTTGAGCTGGGCCAAAATATTATTTTTTAGAGCGCAGACATGCAGACTTCCATCTGAATGGCTTACAACTGCTCCCCAGGAGCTCCCCTGATTCTACAAGCAGCTAACCGAGATGACTGACATCAGGCAAACGAGACAACAGCTCATTCCACAATTCAATTCCACAGTGCCGTCCACGGGTCTAAGGCATCTCAGTGTGTTTCCACGGAAACATCACAGTCCAGCAACATGGGAGCACAAAGTCCGCAGGAATAAATAAACTCTGTTATTTCCCTACGAGCCAGAGAAGGGAAGGGCCAGATTATACTTCCTCGGGGAGGGCGGGTGCCTAGGATCAACCCCAGCCCCAGTGGACCCGCTCCAGTACCAACCTCAGCACGCAGTGGCATTCACACTTATTGCAGCTGGGACAGTGGCATGTGATGTGCCTCTGTGCTTCCCAGGGCTTCCTTACAAAATCCCAAGATTGCTTTACTACCTAAGGAATTCCAAAACCTTCAGTTGGACCCCCAAAATCCATCTCACATCACTCGCTAGGCTCTGATCTTCCTAAAACATCCAGATTTACAGACTGATTTGCCCAGAAATAATCTAATGCTTAAAGTTTCAATAACTTTACAATTACTTGGCACGTCTACTCACCTCTGGACACAGATTTATTATCTTATTGTGGCAGACAGCATTGAAAATAAAATCCCCTTCCCTGCAGTGATAGATTTATTGATTTGTTAACACAGGCTCATATGGAAAAGCGAAGCATCTTTTTAGCTGCTACCCAGAAAGAGCACAACTGTTTAACCTTCTTTCCCAATAACGTAAAAGATGGGACCAATTATGGAGCGACACCATAGTGGCTTCTTGCATGCCACTTTATTGCTGTTATGCAATAAATAATTCACGATGCTGAGCATCTAGAATACCCAGAGAAAGTTTTAGAAAGACTTTGCTCTGAAGATGCTCTTATCAGTACGCTCAGTGTGCATCCCTCAGCATAGGTATCTATTTCATCATAAATCAAGGAAAAAATGGGCTTGGATTTCAGATATGCAGGATGAAAAAAAAAAAGGGCAACATGCGATTTAGTAAAGAAAAGTTGGGGCAAGAAGTTTTGCCACTAAATCCAAGATGAGGGAACTGAGAGATAGAAATATATCCTGAACATTATTTACAGGTTGTGGCACTGGAATTCACATCTCTGTCTCAAACAATGTGATTCAGCATTGCCGTAATCTGAACTGTCACTTGAAAGAGAAATTTTTTATCACTTTCAGCGCCTGCTTTTCACACAAAGCCCTTTGTTTTCTTGAGAGGTGGTGTGCTTTATTCAGCAGCTCCTGCAATCCTGTTTGGAAAGCAGAAATATAATCCTTTTGTGGATCTAAAGCTGTACAATACACACGTGCTCTCTACTGCTGGAAGAAGAAATACAAAGATGCTGGCATCATGTTCATCCTAAACTACGACAGAAGTGACCAAACCACTGGCATGTTAATCTCTGAGACCCTCAAAAGTCAATAAGGCATCTAATTAACTTCAGGGAATTAGTTGTAGACAGTTATTCAGATGGGACTGGCCAAAAAGCCCCTTCCCAAGGCACGCTGGAGGACAGCACAGCCGACCTGGGGGTTAAGCGCTGGACACTGGCACTGCAGAAACATCCAGGCAGATAAACTTTCTTGGGGATCACAGGGCTCCGGAGCCACACATGTGCTGGGAGCACCACAGCCCTTGCTTTTAATCTGGAGATACAAAATATGAACACAGAATGCAATTAATTCAGTCTAAAAATTGCATCTTGCCACAAATCCTGCAAATGTGATACGGATGGCCACCACAGAGATGCGTGGGGAACAGAGATCAGAGACCAAGGGGACAGGGACAGCGATAAAAGTTTAAATAGTTGCAAAACTGAGCGAGTTTGTTTCGCTTGATCCCTATGCTTCTATCAGCAACGACTGAGAAGAGATGTAATTACACAGAACACGGGCAAAGCTGCAGAGATGGATGAGGCCAGCTGAGAGAAAAACGGGCGGGAAAAACGTGAAGGAAACACCTCAGGAAACACCTCAGCCGGGGAAGCTGCGAGGAGCAGCACCTCCACAGCCGCCGACATCCACCCCCCCCCCGGCCGCCGACATTCACTTCTATAGCCAATCCTTTGTTTGAGATCTCTGCTGCTAGAATACAGACATTTTATTCACAGAAAGCAGCACTTTTGACAACCGATGAGGAGAGGAAACCAGCCCCCGGCAGCGGGACG